GTATGTATGTTTCTCGCATTGTGATAAAACAACAGTACCTAGAGCCATCAAATATATAGAACAACGTAATCCTCCTGCGAATTTGGACATCTGGGAACCCAAATTTGAAATTTGGAATTTGTTTTATTACGAATTCACATTGTGTAAAGTTTTAACGAATTTTTAATTAACAAACTCAAGAATTTTAAAGCGAGCAGTGGTGACGTTGCACAGAAAACACGTTTTTATCTCCAGCGCGCGACTGTGTATCGAAAGTTCTAAAGATATTCTCATTTAAAAATTAGGGTTCACCAGCGGCCGAGCGGTAAAATCGCTCCCGCGAACGGGCTGGCTGCATGGGCGTTTTCGTGGTTTTCCCCATGTGTAACGTGTATACGAGCCAGGTTCCCTTAGAAAGTCCTCCCCGAAGGCATCCCTCCCTTTAGGCAGATAGTCCTAGTGTGCTTTGCCGTATTCTCAATGCACCACACCACCACTACACCATTTAAAAATTATTTTTCGATATTGCTCTTGAACTGAATTTTATGGTTTCAGTGCGAAAAACATGATATTTAATAAATAAATCCAACACCCAAAATGCTAAAAAATAATTTAAAAAATCTGAAAGCTTTCAGATTTTAAATTATGTCCAAAGGGGCGTTTTTCTAACATTTTGTGTGTTACTCTATTTATTAAATATCATATTCTTCGCATTTAAACCATTAAATTTAGTTAAACAGCAATATCGCAAAGTAATTTTAAAATGAGCATATTTTTAGAATTCCCGGTACAGACTCCTGCGCGCTGGAAATATTTTTTTTTTTTTTTTTTTTTTTCCGTACAGTGTGGCCATTGCTCGCTTTGAAATCGTTCATTTGTTAATCAAAAATTCCTTGAAGTCTTACAAAATATGAAATCCATAATAAATTTCGAATTCAAATTACGGCTTCCACATGCCTAGATTCTTATGGAAGATTCAAATTTTGTTTTTATCACAATGCGAGAACATACAGACATTCATGCAGGTTCTTCATTATTTAATTTCTTTAAATATAATGCAGAGCGATAACATTTGGTGGCAACAATTTGAAAAGTGAAACAACGCTTATCGGTAATCGACGCAAAATGCCAAAAGGAAATTAAAAGTCCTTCTGGGGAAATTTCCCCTTTGGACTAAAAAAGCCAGTTTGGAGGTAATTTAAAATCTGAAAACATTCATACTTTTTTTTTTTTTTTTTTAAATGCGCAGAATGTGGCTAAGACCGGGCGGTTTAGAAAGAAGGCTTCAGAAGGAATTCGTTGAGAAAATAAATAAGAAAACTGTGACTTTTCTGCAATGATGCATTGTACTGAGTTAAGTACTAATATTTTAATTTTATGTGATGAACTTTTCAATTCCTATAGTTAACTCCGGTAGCTTCCAGCAATTTAGTTCTAGCTGAAATCTTAGCTGCCTAGAACTTGCTGTACTTTTCCCTATTGATAACATAATATTTCTCTGAATTCCCTGAAGTTATCACATATATTTAAACATCAGACTGAAGTTTTGTAAATATTGGAAAGCCGAAAGCAAAAATCGACTCAAATACAGTAGCTTTGCTGCTCAAAGCTACTGTAGGATTTATTTCCAAATATTACTCTGAAGTTAGTGAATATCTTTAGAACAATTTTGTGATTTCATAAACAACTTCCTATTTTTATTATTCCTGTCATGCTTTAACTTAAGTAATTTCTTACTATTTACACCTTCTACTCTAGTGGTTCTCGTTCTTTTTTTTTTTTTTTTTTCCCTCCATGTACCCCTTTCTCCATTGTTAGATGATCATTCCTCCCACCTTCCCCAAACTCTAAAAATTCGTATATATTTATTTCGATTGGGATTACATTTTAACACGCTTTCATGAGTTAAGGAACAAAAACGTGTAGAAAAATGTTGATAAATGACATAACGTAAATAAAAGTAATAAAAGATAAATAAATAATTGACCGCATTCCCACCTGAAAGTGTGAAATTCCCCTCTAGGGGGAGGGGAATTAATCTGGTTGACAATTCTTGATCTGGGCTATTTAGATATTTCCTTTTCCAATGAATTTGGCCATTTCAAAGCCATACGTTGGAAAGGAATTGGCGCAACTCATTTGTTCTGTTAAAGATTTACTTTCCTGACAATTACTTTCCTTTAGTATGACATAGCAAAATATTCTAATATTTTTTGCTAGTATAAGAGCCAGAGAAGGTTTTTTGATATATTATTAAAATAAATATAACTAATCTTTCAGATATTCGCTAAATAAATATCATGTTATGCACCTTAGATCTTAAGAATAATGTACTGGGAAAATATTGGTATAATAAAGGATCAAATAAAATTTTCCTTAAAAATTGGGAACATTTTTAAAAACTTTGTCTCTGAATAAATATTTTTCTTAATAATTTAATAAGTACCACAAGCTTAATAAGTTACAGAATTAAGTCTCATCACATATGCAAACCTATCATAAAAGAAGCTTCCCTATTTCATGGAATTCATTATGAAATACGAAAAAGGAAACTCACTCATTCAGTGGCGAAAAGTAGATTAAGCAAAACACAGAAAATATCATATATAGCATAAACGTCAGGTTTTTTTTTTTTTTTTTTTTTTTTTTTTTTTTTTTTTTTTTAACTATCAAATAAGCTACTAGTCTCGAAACTGCATTTCACCTCGAATCACTATAAACGGCTGTATCATTTTTCAAATTGTTCCCACCAAATACTATTGCCCTATATTATAAAAAAACTAAATAATGAATATTCATGAATTTATGTCTTTCCCATTTCGAAAAAACAACGGTACCTAGAGTTATGAAATTTTGAATAGCATAGTCCTCCTCCACCCGAAGTATTCGACATTTTTTTTGTCTATTTCGTGAAACTTAAACTGTTTAGAAAACTCAACAGTTTCAAAGCAAGCAATGGCAACACGGTAGGGAATAAAACATTTTCATCTTCAGCGCGCTAGACTGACTATCCGAAATTCAAAATATGTGCTGTTTTTTAATATTTTTAGTCCAATGTAGCATTAGGCCAAATAATTTCGAAACGTGTATGCGTATGTAGATGGAAAAAACGTCCGTTTGGGCGTAATATAAAATCCGAAATCTTTCAGATTTTACTTTTCCCCCCTTAAGTATATTAAGGTAATATGATTGTCTATTTACGAAACATGTTATATTTGACAAGGAAGATTTTCTAAGCATGGTTTTATTATTAAGCCATTTTCAACGATACTTCCTCACGCAATTACGCCATACTTTTGTACGACATCCTATTATTTGAACATAAATCTAAGAATTACTTATGATTACAAAAATTTAAAAAAAGTTTGAAATGTTTCGGATTTTAAATTACGTCCAAAAGGGCGATTTTTTACCGTTTTTTGTGTTAACTTTATTTATTAAATATCATGTTCTTTGCACTTAAACCATAAAATTCAGTTCAATAGCAATGTCGCAAAGTAATTTTAAAATGAGCGTATCTTAAGAATTTCCGATACACAGTTCCGCGCTTGAGATAAAAAGGTTTTCATCCCTGTAGAGTGTTGCCATTGATCGCTTCGAAATCCCTGAGTTTGTTAATCGAAAATTTGTTACAGTTTTACAAAATATGAAATCAATAATGAAACAAATTCCAAATTTCAAATTTTGTATTCCACATGCCCATACTCGTAGGAGGATTACGTCATTCAAAATTCGATGGTTCCATGTATTGTTGCTTTATCACAATGCGAGAAATCAACATACATTTAAACAGATTTTTCATTATTTAATTTCTTCAAATATAATGCAGAACTCTAACATTTGGTGGCAACAGTTTGAAAAGTGAAACAGGCATTTATAGTGATTCAACGCAAAATCGCAAAACGAAAACAATAGGCATTCAGGAACAAAGCCTCTTTGGACAAATAATTAAATTAAATAAATATAAATTATGATTCCGTGTAGACTGATAGGCATCTTATCGCCCAAGTCTTAGTGAAACAATTATAACTCAGATGAAGATTTAAAACAAATCATTTCTTTTATAATTTTAGCTGATCAAATACATAGCTGATGTTTAATAGAATCTGACACCTCTGCTTGCGAGATTTAAAATAACATTAAACGCTTTAAATAAAATGTAAATAATTAATGCTTGGAATTTATAAGTCAAAAAACTACTAAGGTTTGGCTCAGGCGTTTACGTACGAGAGCAACATTCTAGCCAAAATGCTTAAGCCGATTTATGTAATTCTAAGAACTGGGAGAGAAAGGAAAGCGAAGATCAACATCACTGCAAAAAATTCCCTCCCTAACTTCAAGAATTCCTCTTTTATATCCAAGCTAACTAACTTGTATCCTGGTAGAAGCCGACGAAAGTAGAAGTGACAGTAAAGATAAAAATAACAAGGTAAGGGTTTAGTGAACATAAAAACTTAGTTTTTTTTTTATAATGCAAATGAATTTCGTATTTGAAATATTCGGTTGGAAATCGTCTCTAGGTCCTTCTAAGCAATATGAATGCTAGAACTAGAATCTATATGGACAGGTTAAGAAATAATTGCGAAAGGATGAAAAAAAAAGCTATTTTTAAAATTAGTGATTTGAGAAAGATTGCTATGAGGTAAATTCAGTGCAACATTTAACTTCATCATAGAAATAGTGATGAAGTGATAGGTTAACAGTGAATGGTTGCTATCGTGTCATCACTCCAGTGCGAATATCACTAAAGTATACCCTATCAAACTTGTTACATTATCTTTCAAATATGTTTTGTTGTAGTGAATTTAGTTACAGACTCTAGATAGAAGTCATGTGTACATATGTGCAGAAATATGCGATTATTTTTCTTTTTAGATTGCAATAGTTTTGTGATTTTTTTTCCTTTAAGTAAATAAATAAGTTTCAGGTTTTTCTATTTTATCAAATTTCATGTTCTTGTCTACAAGTCATAAATTTTGCAAAACTTCAACAGTTTCTTTCATTTCCTCTTCTTTTTCCAGATGGCGCTACCGTTGAATCTGTGATAATCGCATCGCCATCGGGCCCTGTATTTGAAGGATCGGAGGCCACTTTGGAATGCACAGCTACAGGCGGCCCAGCCAAAACGGAAATGATAAAATGGCGGATAAAGGCTGGATCGACGAGAAATAGCCACCCGACCCACGATAGCACCAAATCGATTCTTCATATCTCCAATGTCTCCAGGGATCTAAGAGGTCCTGTGGAATGTTGGGCTGACAACGGCATTGGAGGCCCGTCCGTTCTATCAGTGACCCTCAATGTTCTCTGTAAGTTTCTTTTCGAAGCGGTGAGAATAAAATATTTTTATCCTTATGTGCGGAGCTAAAGTTTATTTTCGAAGGATGATTGTGGCAAATAAAATTCACACCGATATTGCAGCCAGGTCCAAAAACCAAAAATATTTTATGTGCTTCGGCTAGAAATGGAAACAAAATATTGATGCATATATTGCAGCTTGTATTTCTAGATGAGTATTACATTTTCTTGAATACGAATTATGAATCTTCAGGGCATTATAAACGACCTTCCTTTTAATGCTTGATAACAGAAAATTGATTATGTAAGATATTTCTTACTAGACATAATACAATAATTAGGAATGTATCATTACTTCCTTGTACGAAGTAAAGCAAGTGCTGCAATCGCGAAAAATTTCGGGTATCATATTTACACGAAAATATTCATTTTTACAGTTCCCGAATCCGTTATCTTTTGGATCTATCTTTATCGATTATTGAGTTACCGATATCTTATCTTTAGGACGATATCTTTTGCCCCACTTCTGTAAGTACAGACAAAATAAAGGACTCTTTTTTTCAAAAAAGATTGTAAATTGAAATTAATATAGATTCAAAAAGAAATTTTTCGTGGTGTTTGTACGTACATTAAAGTACGTACGTATGTATGTATCTCGCATAACTGAAAGACGATACGCCGCAAAAATTTGAAATTTTGTATGGGGCTGCTATAACATCTAGTTGTGCAACTCTCATTTTCATTGTAGTAAGCCGTACCAAACGTGTACATAAAGTGCGTGTATATAAATACACACCCCTACTCGGCTTTAAAGTCCGTACTTGGCCTTTATTTTCGCAATCGTTAGTCGTAGTCATATATTTCCAGTTACAAAAGTGCTTTAAATTAAGAAAATATCCATATTTTGTTAAGGTAAATTAAAAAAAAAAAAAAAAATTACAAAGGAAAAATCTGAAATGTTTCAGATTTTAAATTATGTCCAAAGGGGCGTTTTTTAACATTTTGTGTGCTACCTTTCTTTATTAAATATCATGTTCCTCGCACTTAAACCATAAGATCCAGTGCAACAGCAATACCGCAAAATAGTTTTAAAACGAGCATATCTTTAGAATTTCCGATACAGAGACTCACGCGCTGGAGATAAAAATGTTTTTTCTGCACAACGTTGCCATTGCTCGCTTTGAAATCCTTGAGTTTGTTAATCAAAAATTCGTCAAAGTTTTAAAAAATAGGAAATCGATCATAAAACAAATTTCAAATTTAGTCTTCCACATGCTCATATTCGTTGGAGGATTACGTTATTCAAAATTCGATGACTCTATGTACCGTTATTTTATGACAATGTGAGAAATATACATACATTTACGCAGATTTTCATTATTTAATTTCTTCAAATATAATGCAGGACTCTAACATTTTATGGCAACAGTTTGAAAAGTGAACCGACATTTATGAGTCCGAAGCAAAATGCCAAAACGAAACTAATAGTCCTTCGGGATTCAAATCCCTTTGGACTTTAAAAAAAAAAAAAAAAAAAAAAAAAAAAAAAAAAATTGATAGATAATGATCTGGACTTTAGCCCAAAATTTCGTTGTGGCATTTTGCGTTGAAAACTTTAAATGTCGGTTCACTTTTCAAACTGTTGGTGGCAAATGTTACAACACTGTATAATATTTAAAGAAATTAAACAATGAAGAATCTGCATAAATGTATGTGTGTTTCTCGTATTGTGATAAAACAACGGTGCCTAGAGCCATCAAATTTTGAATAACTTACGTTTACGTTTCACCCAAATATGGGCATCCCAAAATCCAAATTCGGAATTTGTTTTATTATCTATTTCATGTTTTTGTAACAATTTTTGATTAACAAACTCAACGATTTGAAAGGCAGCAATGGCATCACTGTACGAAAAAAAAAATTAGATTCAGCGCGCGAGACTATGTATCTGAAATTCTAAAGATATGCGCATTTTGAAATTATTTTGCGATATTGCTGTTGAACTGAATTTTATGATTTAAGTGCGAAGAACATGATATTTAATAAATAAAGGTAACCCACAAATCATTAAAAAAACCGCTCCTTTGGGCGTAATGTAAAATCTGAAAGCTTTTAGAATATTTTTTTTCGAAATTTTGTTTTAGTTTTACTTTATTTATTTATATTTTATTTTATTTTGCCCCCATAATTTACTAAACTTTCTCATCACTGGCAATGCTTAAAACAGCTAAACATGGTGAAAAAATGAATTCCTGAAGCATTCTAAACCCTGTCGGCATTATGGACGGAAAATTCCGTATATAAGGCTGGCTTTTGTATTCGTTTACACGTGAACATTTCTGTCAGCAGTTTATGTATCCGACTTCAGTTTGGATGTATATTGTAAGAAAAGTAATCAAGGCACAAAGTGGGAGAGTGGTTTCTTAACTGTACTCAAGAAAATAACATTTATTCATGGCATTTTGAGGAAGTTTGAAATTTCAGAGCTTTAAATCCTTAACTAAGAGCAGTACAGTACAGAATAACAAAGCAATCATGACAAAGCAGCGACGTACTTTACTTCATATTTATAATGTTACATTTCTTTACTTGTATACTTTTATGCTGTTTGTTTATATTTATGTATATATTTTATGCTATGTGTATATTTATATTGTCAGTTTATGTTGCATATATATATATATATATTGCATTCTATGTTTAGTTTTATAGTATATGTATATAAGATATAACAAAATTCAATAGCTGCTTAAATGCTTAAAAATAAGTGTCGACCTCAAAATTAACATTCTAGATTTGGTGATCTCCCCCTAAATTCATCTCTTCTCCGAAATTCGAGAACTTTCTACGTTATGTAACGCTACTGAAAAATGGCAACTAAAATCAATCATAGCTTGTCTCTAAAATCGCACCTACTTTGGTATAAATATCTCTGGCGATCTAATTACGTCATCATTCTGCTAGCATCTACATTGCTAATATCTTCACGCTTCTTTAAAATGCCTGTGTCCTCCTTTTTAAAAAAACAATGTGGATAATTGCAATAATGTAATTGCGATCGTAATTGTAAGGTTAAAGAGTGTGTTGTCTACGAGGAATTATTCTAGTGTGCCTGGAAATCTTGAAATAAAGATGATTAATTGACTGAACTTAGTTTGGTATCAACTTCTTCTCGCCATCGCGAGAAGAAGTTGCTCACGAATACTCAGCCATCGCGACTGTGCTTCAAACTCATTGCATGTATATAGTATTTTATAATATACAACCCTATGAGCAAGACAAAGATGCTACTTTGTACCACATATACCATTATGGCCAATGTAAAAACCATTATCTCTGCAAAACTTATACTCAAATACATAAACTCCCTAAGCGGCACTCTTGTAGTCCCTGGGAGATGCTGCTCTGAACAGGAGAGGGCATGGGTTATATATAGATGTTTTCCTCATCAAGTGTCCCCGTCCGCATATAAGCATTCTGTATTGCGCCACGCGCATAGGAAAAAATCCGTGATAGTGATTGGACATACTTTCCTATGACATCATTTTCTCTGTGTATTGACGTTTAGGAGGGATTCTTACGGTTTTGTTTTCGATGAATGACGCGCATGAGGGACACGTAAATGTTAAAATTATCGTTTGTTTTCTTTTAACAATAATGCCATACCAAAAGGTTTACTTGCGTTCTGCAGATGGTTTCCTGTTTTAAGGAACAATAAAATTATATATTCCTTTAAAGATACTGTTAATACCAGACGCAAATTTAAGCGCTTAGGTTATATAAATAGCAAGTTCTAGAATTTAGTATAAAAACCAAAACACATTGGATTACCCAACGATTTCGACCCAACTGTAAAGGCAGTAAAGGCAGTGTGTGCTTTAGCAATTTTATTCCGTTTGTTTCCTTTCATATTGCAGAAAATATTTCTTTTCCAAATGCATGTGTTATTTCCATGTTAGTATCCATGTCTTTTCCTTTTCTAATATTCTGTTACTTTAAATGAAAGAAAAAAGAGCATTCAGTATTGTCGCTGAATTTAATACACGTGTATAATTACTAAATGAACTTCCTTTTCCGATAAACACTATTTTTAGAGAAAGGTAGGAAAGATATTACACATTAAAAATGTACTATTCATAAAGTAATATTATTCAATTTAAACATAGGTATCGTTATTTCTCCAATCCAAATCTATACTAGTCTAATTTCAAAATTAAATTTTAATCTTCCTAACTGAGTACAAATATAGTAAATTTACTGTTTATTATGGCAACTCACAACATTTTTGCCATCTGCGAAAAATGATTTATCTCATATTTTCGAAGATTACATCTGCAGAAAATGGATATAGAATGAAGATGAAATAATAAATTAATAATCACTACACCGTTACTATGAACAGTTTTAAATTAAAAATATAATTATTAAAAATCTCTGCACCGAATATTAATACACATTTACGGATTTAGCACACTGCAAGAAATAACACTTTTTCTCTCTAGAGGAGAAATTCACTACAATTTTTAAATTTAATTCTCCACACTACAGTACTGTAAGAAGTGTCATCTCAAGGAACCAAAAATACAGCGCACGTCATTAACAGTAAAAATATTTTCGATACTGCTATAAAAATGTAAACGAATGGCATGGAGGTGTACTCTCGAGCCTAAGGAAAGGCTTGCTAAGCATAGAAGAAATTATCTCATCGGAAGCTATACCCAATCCCGAGAATGTATTTTCCCTATGCGCGTGGTGCGGTACAGAATGCTTATATGCTCCCCGTCCTCCGTCACCATCTGTATCGCAGTCAGTGTCACTAATCACGGTCCTGTCTAATCGACAATTAATATTCTAAAATATTCACTCATAATGAAATTACTTGTAAATTACATATTTCCTGAAACTAAATGGAAAATATACAGTAAACATTTACTTATTTTCACCAAATTTCTTTTGTTTCCACTACTTGTCAGTTAACTCTTAAAAATGTCAATAGAATATCATGAAATGT